TTTTCATTTTTCTACAGCCAGTATTTACATCTGACTGGTAAATTTGCTTCCCCCACCAGACACTGTGGCTGGTTGCCCAACATAAAATATGTAAAATGAGCTCAGGCCATATAAACATCAGCTAAGTGTATATGTTATGTAGTTAATAGCTGTGGGATGTATTTTCCCATTTATATAGTTAAAATTCATACGCCCCCTCAGAGAGGATAAAGTGGCCCCCTGCTTTAGGGGGACAGACACACCCTGTCTGTGCCCACCTAGCGTGTCCCACTAATCAACCCTAACAGAATTACCCATACTTGTGGCATTAGGCAGCAGCAGGCCTTGATATATTTCAGCTTAAGTGAATGGATTCTGACAAAGCATCACAAGCTATGCCATCATGCCATTTATCACCCATTCTGTTACAAAAGATGTTCATTAGCCTAAAATGCACCAAATCACCAATAACAGCAAAATAAGACAGTGCTTTAATTTTTAACACATGGGTAATATCATCCATTCCAACAATCTGTGAACACCAAATGCACTACATGGCTAATCCAGATAACCTTAAATAAGTGATGACCACCCTCTGTCAAGAATAAAGAATGTATCATGAATATGAAATTTTCTCAGAAATCCCTCTATGAGACAAGGACAAGAATGGTAGAATATGAGCTGAATATAAGATGAAACATATGTAAGATGGATTTCCAGGAAGTGGTATTACCTGAACGTGGTGGTCAAATAAATATTAGGTCAGAACCCATTTTTCAGCATGAGGAAAACAGAAAATTATTGGAATTGAAGCTTCATAACATGTAGGCTTAAGCGTACTGCAGTCAGTCTTAGTGAAATGAACAAGTACATGAATAGGACATTGAATTTCTTAAAATGACCACCTCACCATAGCCACTCTGACCCCAAGTATTCAAATCCTCCAGCTACGTTAGTAATAGGGGTGCGGGAAAAACTCGATTCTTAGATGCATCGCGATGCGGACGTGAACGATTCTGAATCGATTCATTCAACGTCAAAAATCGATTTTCTAAATATTTAATTTATAACGTAATGTTGGCGGAACGCAAAGGGCGGAACTTGGAAGTGGGAAAGTGCAGCGCCCGGACAGTCTGTGGCGGCACATAACAAAAACACAACTGGATGAGCGAGAAATCCGACCGACTCCCTCTGCATTAAAAGCCAGGTTAGATCAGGAGTCACAACACAAATGATAAGAAGAGCCATTTTGCCTTTCAACAAAAATCAAACCACCTTGGGAGCCACAACATTTAATGTCCAGTATGTCTCAGTATGTGTTAATGTCCTAGTATAGACTAAACAATATAAACGAAAACGCGGACTTACTCCGCCTACAGCCGCTTTCCTCCCATCTCCGCCAGAAAACTTTTCCTCAGAAGCTGAATAGTTTCTTGTAAAATGTCTTTCAGCTTTCGGCTGTTTTATGAGGCTGAAGTCGCTTCTCACTCGCCAGCTTCTTGCTTAACTTTCCCGTTCCACCTTAAATTCTGACTGAGGCGCCAAAGGTAAATGCGGCACCATTTAGAACGGGAAAATTAGAAAGAGAAGCGACTTCATCTTCGCAACTGTTTAGTGTTTAACAGTCTCTCGTTGCAGATTTAACGTACCAGGAAACCAACTGCGCTGCTTATAAATGCAAATAAGTCCATTCGTCTCCAAATGTTCGTCTGTCTTTCTCTTTTCCTTTTTCGTTCGCTACTAGCCAGGCGAAACCTCGTTGCTAGGTGACCTACAGTCTGCACACCAATTCTCAGTCGAGAAATGAGGAACAGGGCTTTCGCGCTATATTGCACACGTCACGTCTCAAAGATATTTTACTGACACACCGACTCCGTCTCTACCACGAGACCAAAACCGAAGTTATAAATCACTGAATTAAACGGGTAGGACAGCTATAATGTGCTGCGTGGACCTCGATTACCACAGGATCTTATTTCACCGTAACAGCGCATCTTATCACAGATGAGTGGCAGCAGCGTCTCCAAACAAGAGCACTGAATGAGAGCCTTCCAGTTCACTTGCCACATCACTTCCATTGGTTTTATTAATAAAATATATTGGACATATTGCATTATGGATCATTACAAATACTTAGCTTTAAAAGTACCAAGTCCTCAGACAGTAAGAAAATAGAAATCATGTATAGAAAAAAAAGATGCATAGAGATGCATCGATAATCGTTTTATAATTGCATCGCAGCTCTCTGAATCGTAATCGAATCAAATCATTAGGTGCCTAAAGATTCCCACCCCTAGTTACTAACAATACTGCTTAACCAAGACCTGCCAAAACAGCCTGACCTCACATTCTTCTCACTATTTATGAACCCAAATCATGGCTACTCGACTTGAAAGCTGTCATGTACATAATGACAGCCTTCCCAGAAGAAGTGTGAAGAAAGTTCTAAGAGCATTTGTGTTTCAGTGGAGGTAAATGGGCATGTACTAACAGTTCCATGCTTTTTTGTCTACATACTTAAAAGATGTCCACAGAACCAAACTGTGCTCCCTTTGTAACTGTGTTTGCTTGTGTGGCCTTGTGTTCAGCTCTAAGTGGGGAGCAAAATGTCCCAGGAATAATAGGAAACATGAAAATTTTGGCGTTGTCATGATGTTTGACTGCTTCCAGTGAGTTTGACTGGTTCCAGTGAGAACCAAAAGATTTGCTCTTGGCTACTTAAGTTGAGTGTAGGTTTCTATGTATAGTATGTAGAAAGCTGTTTTAGCTTTTAATCCACAGTTTTCCATCCATCCATCATCTAAACCGCTTATCCTTCTGGGTCGCGGTGGGGTGCTGGAGCCTATCCCAGCTGTCATTGGGCGGAAGGCAGGATACACCCTGGACAGGTCGCCAGTCCATCGCAGGGCAGACAGACAGACATACACATTCACACACACACACACACACACACCCCTAGGGGCAATTTAGCACATCCAATTAGCCTGACTGCATGTTTTTGGACTGTGGGAGGAAACCCACGCAGACACGGGGAGAACATGCAAACTCCACACAAAAACAACCCTGGTCACCCAGCCGGGAATCGAACCCAGGCCCTTCTTGCTGTGAGGCGACAGCGCTACCCACTGCCCCATCATGCCGCCCATTCACAGTTTTGATACCACAAATTAAATTTGAACAGGTTAAATTGTTATCATTAGTAAAAACATTTCACAATTCAACTTTTACTGGTGAGATATCATAGCATGTGAGGTTTCAATTCTTGCTAGTAAGAATCAATAGTTTTTCCTCTTCCTAATTTCTCAAAGGCAGGAACAATTTTTACTAGCATGAATTATATTTTAATATATCACTGTTGCCGGAAGAAATCCTTGTATCTCCAAAATGGTAACTTTACAGGAGAAGGAAAAAACCTACTTTACTTTTAATGTAAGTCAATGGAAACAGAGTTTTTTCCAAGTCATTTTGGGCCGTTTCTTTTGGTCCATTCATCATGAAATTTACACAGTGTAATATAGATTTATTTATGTTGATCATGTGTTTTCTTCTTGATTTTGTTACTGCTGCTACCCGAACCGGGACCTAAGCACCTCATTTCGGTTCCTTTCACGTATAACATGTTGTGTTCTTATAAAAAGGTTGAACTTTCAAAGTGACCTTCTCTGTCAATATTACAACATCGTTGCAAATAAAGAAATGATGGAAATTCCTGTTGAAAATGTGACTTTATTTCTTAGAGGAGAATGTGTCCAGGTAACAGGGTTGACTGAATGCTGAATACAACATAATTGTACATTGCTTAAGAGCTGTAATGAAAAAAGAATATTTCAATCATGCGGCGTAAAATGAACTCTCACATTCTTGCAAAAATAATGAGCTTTTTAAAGAATTTTAATTGCTTATATTTCAAGGTAAAGTTTAACTATGGTGGGCTGGGACAGGCTCAGTGCTGCAGCCAACTTTTATTAATGTCTTTAAAGTTATTTATCTGAGACATCAACAGGTTGTTGTGAAAAAACACTTACATTTAAATGTCTTTTAACCTCACATACATATTTATAAACATAATATCTGTGAAATCACCCAGATAAAAATTAAATTTGCAAATTTGTAAAATTTCAATTTTCACATTCAATCTGAACACGTAATAATTAAAAATAGGCCAAATTGAATGTATGATGTGATTATAAGCTAAAACTATGGAAGTCCAGAGAGGCCATGAGCTGTTGCTATAATTTTCTGGATTGTTATCTTGAGATAACAAGATAAGTAACTCGTTATTTCAAGATAACAATTGTCATCTTGAGATAACAAGATAATTAACTTATCTCAAAATAACAATCCAGAAAATTGATTCCACTGATTTTTCAAAATTTCTGCATAATTCAGTATTTGAGATGTAAAGTCATTCAGAGTGGTTTAATGTGAAATGTTTCATTTGTAGAGACTGATTTCTTTACACTAGTGGTGATGGGAACCAGGTGTCCCTATGTGTGAAACGCAAATATAGCAATTTTATTTACTATCCAAAACCACCAGTGAACCAACACGTGTCCTCTGAGTGGAATGATGATAAAATAGAGGTAAATCTGAAAAAAAAAAAAATCTTTAGGGGCTACATTGCCTTAGAACACCCTTCCTATGTCCCTCCACTATGAATGTATGGAAATAAATTAAAATATGTTTCAGACCAAAAACGTTATCACAAAACTACTGTAAAACAATGTCACAGGCATCAGTCAGTGTATTCATAATCATTTCATGTAATCTTTCTGTGTGGCAGCTTTTAGAGGTGGAGGTCTGGTTCCTATCAGCACCACTGTGAACAATTCTGACTCTTAAGTTTCTCTAGAATGGAGCATTTCTCACCAAACCACTCGGAATGACTGCTGACATGTTAACCATTCTCCTTCAAGTTAATGGAAACATTCCACAAAGACAGGAATGAGCGTCGATCCAAGTCTTTCCAGGTTTTGGATGATCCAGGCGGAGGGAGGAGGCGGCGCTGGATGGAGCGCGCAGCCATTGGACTGCTCTCCGTTGTCAGGACTGGAGGAGGCCGGGAAGAATTTGTGTGTTGGTGGCCGCCTTGGAAGTCCGACACACAATCACTGCCTTGGAAATAAGTCTTCCGCCAGAGGGATTCCTGTGCTTTTTAAACAACACACCCAGTACACGACTCCGTTTAGAGGATATAGGTAATGAGTGGAGACATTAACTTACCACAGACTGTAACGCGAACGTTACTTCTTTATACTAAACTACCGCAGTGCTAGCAATCCGTGAGCGTAATTTTAGAGTATGAAGGGCTCTGGTAGGTAGACTCACGGCTTAGCAACACGTTTTAGAAATTGGCCCACAAGTGTTTTTTCCTTATCGGTCCGAGGAGAAGAGTCAGTTTCAGAGGCGATGTTTAGAAGCGTTAGCACATGCTAGCATATGGAAAGGCTTTATTTTGGGTAACGGTAGCTAGGCTAGCTCGCTAGCTGCCTCCGTGGGAACAACAACAGTAGCAGCGTTAGAGCTGTTGGAGCCGAGCTCGGCTTTCAGCGCTGACTGTCGGGGTGACACACAGCCAGCTGGCGCTCGACATGGTGGAAACCTAATAATAGACAGTGCCTGGAGAAAGAAACCGGTGTTTCTGACTTGTGGACGATATTTTATTCCATTGCTTGGCACTGAAAACCTATTGAGAGGAGAGGAGAAGTCGACACCTGTTCACTCTCTCAGACCGGTGAGTGTAAATATAAGTGTAAATGCAGTGGCCTTAGCTTAGTTAGGTTCTGCGAACTGTCCAGGATTTTTTAACGTTTCACTAGATTGAATTAAAAATATGACTACAATTCAGTCAGAATTTCTTTCTTTCTTTTTCTTTTTTCTTTCTTTCTTTCTACATCTGTTTCTCTTTCTATATCTGTTTCTGTTAACTCTCTCTCTGTCTCTCCTTTCTTTCTCTCTCTCTCTCTCAGGCAATCAGTTTCTGTGATGTCACAAAAATGTATATTTACATATATCTGCTTATTCAGCCTTCATCAGTTTAGCCCTGCCAATTCATACTGAAGTTATTAGGAGCAGTTGGACTGCTTACAGGGTCCCCATACAGGGTAGCCAATAGGAACAGAGCTCATTTGCATAGATCAGTCATAGCAATAAAAAGGCACAGTAATAAAACACTTTAATTAAATTGTAGGCGATAAAAAGTTTATGTAGTTTCACTACATAAAACTGCAAAAGATCTCAAGTAGACCTTATGAGGGGAGAATAAAATGCAGAAAAATATAGAATATAGATTATGGGCCCTTTAAGTACCATAGGAAAGAAATAAGTCCCATATCTCACTCTGAATGGATTTTGGGTTGTAACTGTACACAATGAGGTGACTTCATCAATGATGGGCTTTCTAAACTCTGTCATTTGAAGGAGTCTAAGCAGTATAACAGTTTGAGGCATTATAACAGTTCTAAGGTTTAATAACATAATATTTCCAATGGGCTTTTGGTCTGCGAAAAGAGATCAGAATATCATTATGTGGCACTCATTGCTTTTTTCTTGTGTCATATTCTGTCATTAATTATTTAAAATATTCACTTTATGTCCAAAAAATTCAGCATATTATGAATGTTGGTGCATGAAATGCTGCACATTAAACATTTAAGGGTGCAGAATAATGTTTCTTAGTTCTTTCACAGTAATTTGCTCCTTTCCTGCGTTATACCTGGATAATGTTCTAATAAAGAAAAATGCTTTTACTTTAAGAAGCTTCAGAATGTGTTCTAATATTTGGCAATTGAAAATACATTAAAGTTAGTTTTTGTTTATTGTGAATTGGATGTTGGCTCATTCCTGTGTTTCATAACAAACCTTTCTAAACATCTTTAGGACTCTATCCTTACATGTGCAGAATTATTAACACGTTGGATGAAGAGAAAGAAGTGAAGGGAAAGAAAGTACAGCCGATGGCTTGAGCGATATTACTACTGATACATTAGTACATTTTACTACATATTGGTACATTTCTTAAATAAGGAGATCTATTGTAGCGCTACTGATAAATGTTTTTATGCTTATAAAATTTAGTAATATAAAGATATAATTGCATACTTTTTTCCTTTAGTTGCTAGAGATGACCTTACAAGTCATCGTGTGATCTTTGTCATTTCTCAGTATTACTTGTATACATTGGAAAGAGATGTCGTCCTTTAGTTCCCATGGTGCAACACACAACAGCAGCACATTACGAAGGACTGCATGAAGCATAGATACATGACGATGTGAAACGAGTGCAGAATATACAAATAAGTACGCCAGACAATAAATACACTGAACAATAAATATACATGATGCTAACTAGACAGGACAACAAAACAATATACACGAATGGGTGTCATATTTATGGCTGGGCGTCACAGCAGCATGTAAGTAAAGGAACTAGGTTTAAAGATTTTAAGAATTTAAAGAGCTTTATTACAGAAACAGCCCAACTCTTAAGTCTTATCTTTTAGTCACCATGACAGCTTCATTTAAGACTCAATTTAGGACAGATGCTATTACAAACAACAGTTCCCTACTTCCCTAAAAACTGTCCTAACGTTAGTACAACCCCGGTGGTCTCCTAACTTCTGTTTTAACTTTTCATTTCTGTTGTTTGCCACTCTACTGAAAACATAATGGTATTGTTTTTAAGCAGATGTGATGGACATCATAAATTCACCATGGCTGGCATAATGGTGTTCCATTTATTCATATTGTAAAACAGTGGTTTCACTTGTGAGAGTGATCTTTTTTCCCTAAATCAAAAAAATCCCAGACACTGAGGACACGTTCTCTACCATTCCCTCTTATTACCTGCGTATAATAATGTCGGTGAAAACTTATCTAATAAAACACTGCAGCGATGGTGGTGAATAATGAGCAGACAAAGTTGCACGCCTGTTTACTAGGAGGAATAACATTAGCAGGAATAACTGTCTGAACCCTGTGAAATGGAAACTGAAACTAGGGAGCGACGATTCCCTGTTAAACAGCATGGGAAGCTGTCACAGTAAGAAATTTTTATTAACTTTTAATAACTTTTTCCAACTTCCAATCAATCAGCTTGTAGTTTTGACATTTTCTTTGCATTGGTAGGCTGCCTAACCAACTTCATTTTGATTAGCTGTGCACGTACCGCCACTTGCTTGGTAATGGACATAACAGTTGATTATTGACCTTGATCGTGTACCTTAGGATTTCCTAACTTGCAAGATTCTGTAAGATAAGATTATTTCCTAAATTAAGATGGGATTTGTTCTGTAATACGGCATGCATAACTCTTGGAGGGCATCTGGTGTCAAGAACAATTTGATGATTTCCCTGCTTAAACACACCTGATTCAATTCATCTGCCAGGTGGTGGGTGAGTTTGAGTAGGGGAACGACCAAACTGTGCTGGACATCAGCCCTCCAGGACTGGATTTGTGTACCTCGAATTTGTGAAAAATCTTTTCTTGACCTGCCAGATCTTAACATAGAACAAAAGATGGGAAGTTTCTGTAATACAGCTCCAGGTATGCAGTGATGGTAAAGGGGTGTGTGATCAAGTGTGCAGTCATGTTAAAAGGGTGTGTGATCTGGGGCTCTATTACAGAAACCTCCTAACCCTGAAATCTTATCTGTTTGGTCACCAAGACAACTTCAGTTAGGACTGAATTTAGGACAGTAGCCATTACAGAATGACAGTTCCTAACTTCATTTTCTTATCCTAACTCTAGATAAGACAATAGTATAACAGAAGCATCCTAACTAGACCAAATCTTCTAAATACTGTCCAAAGTGTAGGTCAATCTCAGTGGTGTCATAACCCTCCATTTCTTTCATTTTTAACCAACTGTGACAGGCAACATAAGTTCTGTATAACTAGCAGAATGACATTACATTTATTTACATTCCAAAACGGTGGTATTTCTTGTGAATTTTGTTTTCTAACTCTGTGTTTTAATAATATCAGACATTACAGACAGATACAGACATGATTGCCACCGTCCTCTCTTATTACCTGCATGTGTTGCTGTTAATGAAAACTCGTCAAATAATGTTACAGAGGTGGTATTGAATAATGAGGAGACAGAGAGACGTATGGCTGTTAATTAGGAGGAATAACGTTAACATGGCTTGCCTGCCAGCCAAAATTTTGAGAAGTGGAAACTGAAGCTGAGGAATGGCGATGGTCTGATAAATAGCTTGGGGCACCTTGACAAGGTTTTGACCCTTTTTTTGTTGGTACTGGTAGCTGTGTAGCTAAGTAAAACAGTTTCACTTTATTCTTAAGAGTTTACGTTTTAGCTCATGTCTGCAGTGATGGTTAAGGTGTGATCAGGAGAGCACAGAGTGGTGGACCAGCTGATGATAGGCAAAATGGAATGGGCCATTTAAGTGGCTTAAACCAGAAATGAGTGTGAGATGTTGGAAGTGGGTATTTTTACTGATTGTAATGGATTACAGACTGAAACACTGACATTAAAATTATGCTTTAATAATGTAATTAAGACAGCCAGTTAGAAGTCTAGTTTTCAGAACAAGTTTGCTTTCTTACAGCAAAAATTGAGTACTGAAATTTGGTACTGAAAGATCAAATTTTGCGGTAGTTTGTAGTATTACAGTCATCTCTTTAGTACTGTAATTGTACTAAATTTCCACACCAAGCACTCTTTATCAAAGTGTTTGCAAAACCCACCATGTAGACATGTGAGAACTTGAGATGGAAGGAATTCATAAACACAGTCATGAGATTCATTCCAAAGGATATGGCTCAGTTTTCACACAGTAGGGAAAGTTGAAGACAGGTTCAACATACTTGTCAGTGTGCGATGCAGGAAACTGTTCAAAGCCACCATTTGGCCAAATTATAAAACTTGTGTTTCTAAATTGAAAGAAGCCAAAATAGGACTATATAGATTTTTTGCTCTAATATAATAGGGATGCAAATTTTGCAACCCATCAAAATATCAATTACAAAACAGATGGTTCCGGTTCTGAAATCTGATTGGCTGAGTCATGTTTTAAGCCATTGTGAAGTACTTGATGTACACGCACTTAAGAGCACAGGCATCAACTGTATTCTGTATCAAAGCATGGAGATGTTAAAAATATCTTGTGTGGACTGTGGAACGTAGTACTGATAAGTGTGGCCAGGCATATACATGTAGTAAATGGTCTGAATTAAACATACCCCATGTCAGAGCTAGAGACGGATCACTATGAAAATTTTGCCACTGATACTGACTTTAGGGAGCTAAAAATTCACATAACTGATAATATTGACCAATACAATTTGAAATACATATTTTATAGTTTTATACTGTAATAGTTTTAGTTAAACAGTGCTTTGTTGAGCAATAAGATTGTCCGTTCTCAAATATCACGCTCATCATCCGAATATCATTGGATGGACCATTGCTGTAGCTGAGCTGTCGTCCTCTTGAAAAATGATCCCGGACACTTTTTTTTAGCTGCGCACTTCATTTATCAGTAGGCCTCTCTAGCAGCACCAATTTCCTATAGTGCCCTTGTGTACATTTTAAAAACTTTTCTCAAACTTGGATGCTAAACCCACCTAATCAGACAGAAACTGCTGTTGGAAATGACCTAAAATAAAATAAAAAAATATATTTTAAAGGATAGAATGGGTTGAAAAATTGCTGATTTGTCAGTTAATCATTTACATCCCTAAATATGAACAACGACATCATCTGTCTGG